GTTTATTTTATCCCCGATTAAATGAATAGCACCATAAAATAAATTTCGTTTATTTATAATTTCAAGTGAAATCTTACATGAATATACGGTACAGTACAACTTAAGCAATTTAGATACTGAAAAGTACTGTAAAGTGATTTGGTTCAATATCGTTAAGGAAATAAACCCGTGAGTGAAGGAATACACCAACTGCTCCATAGAGTGAAAACGTCAGTAGTGAAAGTAGTTCTAAAGATGAATACATACACAGATTTAAGTATAGGCCTAATACTAATCAACAATTATTGATCAGCATAAAATACATATGGGCACTGAACTTGAAGAAATAAAGAACTTTACAAAGCTCCAGAACACTAATACCTTGGTGGAGCTTGAATATAGAGAGCTCCGAAAGAGACCAGGCAATGTGAAGAGATTGTAGAACTTGTTTTAGGAATCTAGTATTCCGAGAAGTTTTAAGCTAGGCCTATTTGCTGCTACGGTAGATTATGTTCCTCATAGCTGTGGAAGCGCAAAACGTCACACCAAACATGGCAAAGGAAATAGATGACTACTACAACCGCTTGCTGAGAACTGTTCTTACGGTAATGTTCACATTTAATGTCAAGAATGTGTAATTATAATGAAATCTACGTAAGCCCCAAGATCAGAAAGAAGAGCACCAGGCATTTTTCCAAGACTGAGGAACTAGCATTCAAATATTATCAACTGGTTACCAAAAAATGGGAGAGGTGTAAACCAGCAAGGTCCGCACTCACATAGTAACATATGCAAAGCCATCGATCGTGGTTTGTTCAAGCAAGTAAACAACCTAGTTTGGCAGTATACATCATTCTCGGGTCTATTTTCTTTAAAGTCATTCATCAGTCTAATGTTCATTTATCTTAAGATATTTATCAATTCAATGGAAGACATTAACACATTGTTATTTTCATCCTCGTTGATGAGGCCTACAATTGCTGTATCGTCAGCTATGTGCAACTTCCGGGCACTTTTGCTAAATTGCTACAGTTTAACCTGACACAGATTTTAGAGTTCCTTTTTACAATTTACAAAGTATTTAAAATGCACAGCATAAAAAGAGGTTTTTAGATAACAATTGCTTCAAATTGGTTATGATTTTTAAACTTTACTCAATTTCCAATGTTTGGGTGTAATCCGGGCATATAACTCAATAATACGCCCGAAGAAACTTCACTCGTAAGTCATACCTCTGCCACAAAACAGATCAGATACGGTACGCTGGTGCCGCTTGTTAAAATGGTCATCACTTGCACCGATGTGATAATTGCGTATAGCTAATATCAGAGCTGTAGTAGTGAAGTCAGGGACGTAGCCAGGAGCCGTTATGCGAATTACGTAGGACCCCGGCGGGGTCAAAGGGGGGGGGGGGCCAGGC